ACAGCACTTGTATCATACCATTTACCCAAAAATCTGAGATCAGATGGGTAAGCTTAACATACCTGTCATTCTCGTCCCTCTACCTTTTTGCCTTATCATAATTTTCCACCAGAAATATGTTTAGATTTCACTTGAACTGTCAGACCTGAAGAGGAGCTCCATATATTCAAAAGTATGTCTCTCTCACCAACAGAATTTGGTCCAGTTAAAGATGTTACCTAAACCACCTTGTCTTTCTACTCTCCGCTTCAATTACTTTCTCCTTATGACTCATCCTACATGTTTCAGGGTTGTTGTGTAACAAGTAATAAATACGTTTGAGTCCTCGCTATTGTGTGATAGAGTTTACCCTAATTCCTGGGCTTGTTAGGTCACTGGAACTTAGGCTATAATTATGAGGTGGGCAAGGAAGATTCTAAACTGCCTTCACCTTGAATTCTAGAAAAAACAAGTCTGGTAACAGGCATCTTGCTTCTCCCCTCACATGCACTCTCAGCTCCACAGATGTCTTGTTCAACTTGAATGCAGGTCCTGTTTGTCTGAATGTTACTATATAGAAACAGCCTGAGGTCTGACCAGCTGCAGCAAGCACCACTGCCTATACTGACCACTGGAGATGCTGATGGCAGGGCGGGAGATTTAGTTAGGCAGATGTTGCTCTTCTCTGATCTTTGCATTACTGCCTCTGTCTGACCTTTCATTTTTTTAAGCAATTTCCACTCCTGAGCCCGGATGTGGTAATAATGGATGTGTGGGATGGTAGCAGGAGAGACTTGACAGAGCAGGGCTTGCCTAGGGAATGAGCAAGCTGGGAAATGCATTTACCAGAGAAATCAAAACAAAAGTTTGTGACTAAAGCAAAAATCTATGTATGACTGAGGCCTCAGTAGACCAAAGCAAATAAAGCGCTGGCAGGAGCATTTAAACCACAGAAATGAAAGCATAAGGAAACCAAGTCAGAGTGAGGAAAAAGGGCGCATGCCAATTTGAAACTTATACCCTAATGACATAAAAACCAAGCACTGGACACTCAGAGCCCACTCTATTAACTTCATTTAGCACAGACACTCTAATCGACAATATTTCCCCCCTCTTCCTCCCCCCCCCACACATTTTTTCCTTCTTTCCTACACTCTAATCGACAATATTTCCCCCCTAACCTCCCCCACACACACATTTTTTCCTTCTTTCCATACTCATCCGCTCTCTTTCTCTGCTATTTATTTGTACTCTACTCCTTAATTCCATTCATCTGAAGAAGTGCATTGTGCCCATGAAAGCTCATGATACCATCTACATTTTTGTTAGTCTCTGAGGTGATGCAGGACCATTTGTTGTTTTTTATTTTTTTTCCAGTTACAGACTAACACAGCTACCCCTCTGAAACTTTTGAATCCAGAGTGTTATCAAAAATAAAGAGGTGCATATGTACCTCAAGGTTCCAGTCTACATCATTTTAGTTCAGAATCAAGTTATGTCAGTAGCAGAAAACTGGGATCTTGCAATGGTGGGCTAGGATAGCAGAGCAATCTGCAGATATAATGATGGGTATAGGTTTATAATGAAAGCATAGGATTAAGTGCTCTCCTGTGTGTAAGTGTCAAAGAGTTATGAAAGTTTCACAGATTTAACTGTAAATTGGTTTAAATAATCATTTTCAGAATGCTGCTAAATCAATATATGACAGGCTTCAATCTGAATATCCATACCGGGTTTTCCACTAGCTTAACCAGCTCAGTTTAAGTACATCTTTAAAACCGTTCAGCTCTTGCATATACAGAAGAATTGGAATTTGCCTCATCTGCAAAATAAGTTTGATGCCCTTGTCTGTCCTAGATGTAAGTTCAGGCCCCTATATTTTGTTGCCAGTCCCTATCAGGTTGAGTAACTAAGAGAATTGATAACCTTGTATTAAGACATTAGGTTTGATTCAGGGAGGAAGAGGAAGATCAGTGTGGAGACTGGTACTGGTTAGACAAGAGAGAAGCAAATACAAAATGATGGGTGAGCCTGAAAAGATTCATTTCAGACAAACATTCAGAAATCTGGATGTGTTTCTGACTTATGCAAGCTTCTTGAGGCAACAAAATTACTAGCTCAAAAATCCCACTTCTGAAAGTTATTCTGCTAAGGTGGATTCCTTTGTGCAGTCCCTGGAGATCTGTGTGCACAAGAGTCTACCCTCATGGAAAAGTTCGCAGGGTCAGGGCCTTAGTTTGCTAGAAAACTCTCGTGAATAGAGTTCATCAAAAATCTCTGTGGAAAACAGAGAAACTTTGACAACTTCTTTGCTTTAAAACATTTTAACTAGCTATACATCTATGGCTTTTTACTTGCTTCCTCTTTCCAGCTGGCAAGAAAGATAAGAATGGGTTTTCACTGTATTTTGGCACCACTATTCCCATTTCTAATCTATCCACAAACTGGAGTCGTGAGGAATAGGGGGAGGAAGGGAAAAAGTTAACATTTTCAGACTTTCAAAAATGTTTTGCCTAATTAGTCTGACACTTCTTTTTATCTAATACAGCGTGATCATCTTGAGTTAACCGAAAATGGTGGAGTATTAGCAAAATTGTGAGGATGGGAGAAAAAGGGTGTGATGGAGCTCAACCCTGTATTCACACCCTATGCAACACTGTAATAATCTTTGTACAAAATATGCCTCGTGAGGTATCATTTGAAATAAATAACTTGCTGGTCAATAATATATTGGTGAAATGTATGTGGCAACAGTATATGTAAAATTATGAACAGAAGGTAAAATCATGACTGAAGTGTCTTTACCAGATAACTCTGGGGAGTGGGTAAACCTGTTTACCAAAGATAAAGGATAAGCTCATGCCTCTAGCCAGGTGTTATCAAAGCTAATGGGCCATCACCACTCAAGTGACCATTCTAGGGCTAGGAAGGGATCAGAAAAAACAGGCCTTCATTTTAGCACACAATAGCATGGAACCTCTTTTATCACCAGCCCCCAGTCTTTGGCACACAATGGGAATGAACTTTATCTAAGGATAACTCTCAGAAAAATGCACTGAACCATAAAAGTGAGGGGCGAAGTTTCCTCCCTGTCCATCTCTTTCCCCTCCTGCCCCCCCAAAATCAAAAGAACTAGTAGTTTGACTTTGAAACCAGATCGTAAGAATTTGGTTTAAAATGTTACTGGAAATGTAGTAAGGGATTTCATCTTGAATCGCAAGTTTTAGTATTAGGATGCATTTTATCTTTATTTCTCTTGTAATCATTTCTAACTTTAAAGCCTTGTATTTGCGTACCCTTAAAATCTCTCTCATTGTAGTGAAATAAACTTGTTTTATTCTTTAATCAAAACCAATCTAGTGTTATGAATTGTTTGGGTAACTATTTAAGGTAGCAGACTATGGTATATAGATCCCCTTAAAGGGGCAATGACCCTAATATATCTTGACTGTCCCAGGAGAGGTCTGGACAGTGAAGAACATGTGTTTTGGGAGCAAATGGGTATTGGGATTATACTGGGGTCACCCTTCAAGTAGTAACAAAGGGCGGTGAAAGTCAGAGCTTGGCCAGTGTTTGCTGACAGGCTAGTGGGATTAGAGTTGTTGAACCAGGGCTGTGGCTATCAATGTACACTTGGGATGTAACGTGTGTGCTGTTGACTGTTTGTGAGCAGCCCAGATTGGGAGCTATAGTCATAAAGCATTATGGGATGATCTAGGTTGCAGGCAAAGGTTACATAACCCCTCACTGATCTGGACTGCACTCCAAAATGTCAGAAAGTGATTATATGTCATTTGAAAATCTAGCAAATCTAACCACTCGTCAGTGACTGGAACAGGCTTCAGCTACAGTCAAATCTATTTGGGCAAGTGTTTCAATTGAGTGTTGTGCTTTTAAAGCTTGCTTGAGAGAAGAATTAGTCAATAAGCCATCCTGAGAGGGTAGTAACAATGTGGAAAATCCTTTTCAAACAAGTATTTGCAAAAATAATATTTCTACATAATTTTGCCAAATATTAATAATTATTCAATGATGTTTGCTAGTGATGGCAATGCCTGGACTTGGCTAAAGATTCTGGCTGTTTTTGAACTTGTACTTTACTGTGTCAGGATGGTCACCTCTTAAGTAGATTTTCCTTTTTTGCTCTCGCTGAATTTTCCTTTTGAAGGCCTTTCTCTTCCTCTGGTAAATGTTGTTTAAAGCAGTCCTAGCAGGAGGCTGATTCTAATTGAAAGATTTGCTACCATGCTAACTCCAATGACTCAGTTGGAATTTACAAGCACTGAACTTCCCCAGGTAAACTAAGGAGCTCTTGGCTTGGTATAAAAGCAGGGTCAGCCCAAGGCGGGCTGCTGGCATCTGGCGCCCCCGGTGGAATGCACAATTGGCGCCCCCACCTCCACAGCCCTCAATGGCATGACATCATCATTGGGCGCCCTGTTTAATGCAGCACCCTAGGCGACGGCCTAGTTGGCCTATATGCACGGGCTACCCCTGTATAAAAGGACTGAACAGTAGGCTGACGTTGTGAGTCTAAGGTAAATACAGGGAAGTCTTTCAAGTTTTGTAGTCAAAATGTACAAATTGAAAAATAATCTTTTTGCCTGTCTCTGATACTTTCCCGATGGACATCAAGAGCGGAGCTAGGATACTATTGCAGGCCTGGAAGTGGATAGGATGACCAATTAGGGGCTTTGCCTGACTGGCAAATATGCTTCTCTCCCACTCCTCCTCTCCCAAAAATGTGACCTGATTTTTCACTCTTGCTATTTGGTCACCCTAGTAGTAGGGGAGACATTGTAGGAAAATGGCAAGAGGAAAGATGCAATGCTAAATGTGCAATGCAAGGACTAATATGATTGTGCTGATTGTGTGGTGTAGTTTGGATTCTTTTAAACAACGTGTAGGATAGGCAATGGAACAAGCATCACACAAGGAAAATGTTCAGAAAATAATTTTTTTTTTAACTGTAAATATCTTGTAAAAACTCACTCAGTCCTGATGCAGCCATACAGAGAATAGTTGGTTCCAGAAGCATCCCTGATGTGAGTGTACAATATTAGGCCCTAAAACATGAGGGATGAACTTATGGTTAAAACAAAAATGCTACATCTCCACCAGATGGCACTAGCAATTCTTGCAATCAGGATGATACCAAGTAGAGAAAAGCCTGGAGAATGGATAGCTTTTTTATTTTAAAATGGGGAAATTAACATGCAGATAATTCCTGATTAAGAATTAGGAATGTGTTATCCTAGTGTACGTTGGTGTTTCTGTGGCTTTTAGCAGAATACAGTACTGTAACTACAGTTAATAAATTAAGTCTCAACATGCACCATGGAAGCAGTTTTACCTTAATTTTCCAATTGGGAAACTAAGGCACAGAGGTAAATGACTTCCCAAGCTCGAGGAAACCTGCCACAGAACTAGGAAAAGAACTCAGACCTCCTGGCTCCCTGTCCTATGCCTACTCACAAGACTATGCTTCCTCTCTGTATAATGTTTACTAATTGTCCCATTCAGCAAAGACTATGTTTGGCTTCTGTGCTGTGACAGTATGTATAAGGCAAAGGAAGCTGATCTGGGAGACCCTCAGTGAGTTTCATAGCAGACAGTCTGGCACATTTTGTTGTGTTATTGAAGCTGGTCCTTGTGTTATCAGGTACAATTTTTATGAAACAGTTTTATTACTTGTAATTAAGCAATAATGACCAATTGGATGGACATTTCTTGGAACTTACTGATAGGCTAAAAGAAAATGATTTCTTAGAGGCCAAGCCTGGTTAAATTTAAACTGCTTTTATAAATATAATGCAGCAATAGTCTATAATCCTGATGGCTGTGTCTACACTGGGCCACTTATTCCGGAAAATCAGCCGCTTTTCCGGAATAAGCTGCGAGCTGTCTACACTGGCCCTTGAATTTCTGGAAAAGCAACAACGCTCTAATGTACAAAATCAGCTGCTATTCCAGAAAAACTATTCTCCTCCCGCTCGGGCATAAGTCCTTATTCCGGAACACTGTTCCAGAAAAGGGCCAGTGTAGACAGCCCAGTAGTCTTTTCCGGAAAAAAGCCCCGATCGCGAAAATGGCGATCGGGGCTCTTTTCCGGAAAAGCGCGTCTACATTGGCCACGGACGCTTTTCCGGAAAAAGGGCTTTTCCGGAAAAGCAGCCTGCCAATGTAGACGCTCCTGTTCCGGAAAAACTGAAAACGGAATAGTATTCCGTTTTAAGAAGTTCCGTAAATTCATGCCAGTGTAGACACAGCCGATATGTCTGAAACCAATTTGCCAGAATGAATCTATTAATCAGCTGTACAAGATGCAGACTTATCCATATTTTAAAAAAATGGGAGGTAGGGGATGGGGCAGGGGCATGAAATAGAAGCAATCAACTGCCTGGTGTGTCTAGACTTTCTAGTGACTTTATTTGAAGGCCCACAGAATCAGCTGTACTCAAATAGGTAAAAAGCCTCAAACCTAGCCACAGGGACGCAGTAGATGATGAAGGCAATGCTAACCTCTGCATATAAAGAATAACTACAAAATGGATTTGGGGGTCACAGCAGATAAACAACCCAGTAAGGTCTCCCAGTCCAATGCTGTGGCAAAAAGAGCTGAAGTGATCTGTGGATGCATGAACTTGGAAATAAGGAGGTAAGGAAGTGATTTTGACTTCTGTGGTTTGGCATTGGTGAGATACTAGAATGCTGTGCTCAGTTCTCAACATTGTTAAAATGATGCTGAAAAATTGGAGAAGGCGCAGTCCAGTTTATCAAAAAAGAAGAGCGAGGTCTGATTTGGTTACACAGTAAAAGGCTCTCTACTGTCAAAGAACGGCCTAAGAAGAAAGTGATTGGAAGCTGAAGTCAAACAAATTCAAATTAGAAATAAGGCACTAATGTTTAAGAAGATTAACCACTGGAATAAGCTAACAGGGGAAGCTGTGGATCCTCCATCTCTTCATGTTTTCAAATCAATTCTGGAGGCCTTTCAGAAGATATACTTTGGTCAGGCAAATGTTATTTGTCTCGATACCAAGGTAACTGGGTGAAATGTAATGGCCTGTAATATACTGGAGATCAGATTAAAGGATGTGGTTGTGTCTTTTGAGCTTAAACTCTATGAATAAAATATTAGCACCAAAAACTCAGGAATACTGGAAATGGAGAACTTAACCCTGGCCAGAAGGCAGAGCTCAAGAAGTTACCTTGAAGCTTGGTTTCAAATCATATAGCTCTCTGACAAATAAGACTCAAAAGTACTAAGACCTGTTAAACAAGAACATCTCCTTGTAAACTAGATAATTTGTAGTTCTATGAAAATCCTCTTTGAAGCTATGTGTCAGGTGGTATAAATGTATGTCACAGGAAACCAGGGAAAACTAACACCAGTGTTATAGTAGCTAAATTGTGCTATTTGTATCCAGGTCGAACTGAAATAAATACATTTTTCCTTTTAAATTGAACCAAATGCTCCCATGGAAAATTTGCAGTTGTACTGTGCTGAACTATTAGGACTAGATTCACAAAGGGTGTTTAATCCAACTACTGAGATCATCAAAATGCCTGTTCGGCTGCCACCTAACCCTGTGGCCACCTAAATTCCCCAAGCATCTGTTTCCAGTGGGCAAGTACAAAACTGCCGAAGTCCTGCCATGGTCAAACTGCTGAGATCCTGGCTCCTATCTAAAACTCAGAGAGATTTTCAAAGTAGCAATCACCCTTCCCCCCACTTACGTCACCTGCACTGAGCCACTCACAAAAGGTGAGCAGTAGGCTTTGTGTGGGCTAGCTGACTGGCTATGTCCCAGAGCCACGGTGATTAGAGCACTCATCTGAGATGTGGGAGAGTGATGAATTTATTATTTACTCTCCCACACTCTAGATAAGTGATCTAAACCCTGAGCTATTAGCTGTCTTGGGGTGGGTCTCTATGCTTTTTCATGAGAAAGAAGTGACTGGGTTTCCACCAGTGCAACTCTCATACCCTGCTGCAAAAACTACAGCATACCAGCCCTAGTCATCCAAAGCCAAAGGAACAAGTTTAGGGGCTCTTCCTAGTTTTTAAAATCAACATTAGCAAAGGCCTCAGTTCAGCAAGCACATGACTGCCCAATTCTAAGCACAAGTTTTTTTCATTGAAGTTATATGGGTCATATCTTTCATGAGTAGGCAGCACTCCATTGAGTTCAGTGGAGCTATGCCAAGTGTGACTAGTTGAAGATCTGCTCCAACAGGACTACTCATGTACTTAAGGTAAACATGGGGATTATGTCTGGATGATGCTGTAGGTAACAGATGCTTTGAGTGGATGAGGGTAAAAATGTAAAAAACAACTTAATAATCTAGGAGCCCAAGTCCCATTTTCAAAAGTGACTTAAAAACACAAGGTCATCTTGCCTTTCAGAGGTAGCTCCTGCTACCAAACACTCCCAATAATGTCCTTGTAGACTGTCCTAGTGTGAGGTTTTTTGTCTTTGAAGTAGCCCAACTGTAGCTCACTGAGAGCACTAAAGACAACTAGGCACATAAAGCAGATCAGGAATGGGATGGAGAGCTCTTGTTTTGTTTTTCCTATAAGGAGATGAGCTAAAGGGTTCTGAAGCAGCTGAAGACTCTGTGTGGCCTCCAGTCTACCCCAAATTAAGGAGGGAAAGGATTATTATGGGTTGGTAGAAAGGAGTGTGACCAAGGGCAACATTTTTGTGCCATACTTTTTATTTGCTTGGAGTGCTTTATCAAATAGGAATCCAAGGCTGTGAACTTCATTAGCAGTGGAAGGTAAATAAAAAGGGCAGTTACAGTTCCTGACCACACTCTCTCAACCAGAATCACTTGTGTCTTTTGCTTAGCTGAATTAACTTGTGCCACATTCAGAGGTGCTGGGGGAAGAAGGATATTTTGAACTCTTTACTTCTCCTTGTGATGGAGGGAGCTGGGATGTAGCGAGAGGACAGACTCTTGAGAGAAGAGGAATAAAGGCATTGCCACTCCAGGGATGGGGTGGCGAGTCCTGTTGCTGCCCTGGATTAGCACTTCACAGGTAGAGCCCAGGCCCCACTCTGGAGAAGCCCCAGAAAGAAGTGAGAGTTGCTTGGCAGAGAACAACGAAAGTTTTCTGAGGCTCAACCACTTCTCCTCAGGTGATGGGCTAGACAGAGAGACAGGAAAAAGGATCTGGTACCAGGAGAGCTGTAAGGAGGCTCGATGGAGAGTTTAGGATCAGGGGGAAAAGGGCAGAAAATGGAAGCCGTCGGATGGGGGACCAAAGGATGGGTGTGTGGGAAGCCCCAAATGTAGCCCTTCAAAGAGTTCTGCATGAGGGAGAGCGGTCCATGGGGTGGGTATAGGTCCTCAGTGACCAGATCACCTAGTCTGACCTCCTGATATTACAGACTATCAGCAATACCCAGTACCTGCACATGAAACCCAAGTACACATGCTGAAAAGGAAGGTTACAACCTCCAAAGGCATTGCCAGTCTGACCCATAGGAAAATTCCCATTCACCCCCACTTTTGGTGATCAATTAGACTTTGTTTGGCTCTTGCTCATGTGTGCAACCAGTCAAGTATGTGAAGGAGTAGGAGAACCTTCAGTGCCACCAAAGACCTCTGCCCCACCCCCTCTAAAGCCATCGTCATCTCTGAATACATGGGGGTGGGAGGAGAATTTCTTTCCTCGCCCCTGCCTGCAGGTGACTGTCTGAAACCCTGAAACATGAGCTTTAGAGGCATAGGTCATAACCAGAAGTGATCTCCAGGACTACCAGTCACCTGCACCATCACAAGCAACCTTGTCCATATAACCATGCTCCTTTAAAACTAATTACATTGAGCCACCCCCCAATAATTTAGGAGGTTTTTCAGAACCTTACTGCTCTACTGGTTAGAAACCTAATTTCCAGCATAAATTTGTTCATGGCCAGTTTATACCATTGTTCTTGTGCTAACAGTGTATTTTTGCTTACATAGCATTTCATCCTCTCTGGTATTTGCCTCCTAAGTGTATCTAGAGAGCAATCATAACCCAACTCCACTTTCTTTTTTTGCTGGGTTAACCAAGTTAAACTCTTCAGCTACGTGTTCACTGCGAGTTCTTCCAACAGAAAATATGCTAATGTGGGGCTCAGTAGCATAAGTCATGACATCATTAACATATTTTCTGCCATTTCTTTTTGCACAAGAGGTTTTTGTGCAAAAAGAAGCAGTGTGGACTTTTTTTTAATGCAAAAATGCCCTTTTGTGCAAGGTCCTTATGCTTCTCTGGGATAGGTATAAGGATCTTGCACAAAACAGGATTTTTGTGCAACCCTACCCCCCGTACACTCTGCTTCTTTTTGCACAAAAACCCCTTGTGCAAAAAGAAATGGCAGAAAATATGCTAATGAAGTTGCAACTTATGCTAACGAGTCCCTCGTTAGGATATTTTCTGCCAAAAAAGCTGGCAGTGTAGACAGAGCCTTCCAGTCTACTCTCATCATTCAGAGTTCTCCATTTCCCCAGTCATCCTAGTAGCTCTTCTCTCTACCTGTTCCAGCTTGACTTCATTGTTCTTGAATGTGGGTGACTGGAATATACACAGGATTCCAAATGAGTTTGTGACTCAGGATGCCAGACGGTAGATGGCAAAGTTTTCACAGGAGTTTACAAGCTTGTATAAGCGTAATATTTCACCAAAGGGTAGCATGTAAAATCTTGGCTAAAAAACAGTACTTTATGGGACATAATACTCATTGTGAATGTATATATGGATAATATTTGAGAAGTTAGACCTTTATATTGTAAATTCTGTTCTTAAAGATTTGAAATTAAAAGCAAATCACCAGGAGGTTACAGGCCAAGGATGGATTCAGGCAGAGGGGAGGAGATGCTTATCCCTCAATGTCTGGTCAGGTATGTATTGTATCTTTCAGTGAGGAAGAGTGACCAGCTAATAAAGCTTGCAAAATAGACAAGAGGTCACAAAATCTACAGAAAGATAGATACAGCAGGTGTGGGTGGCGTTCTGATTTAAGAAGAGCAAAAGACTATGTTGAGGTATCTTGGGTTGCAAAAAGGGTGACATGAAGCTGACAACATGGCTTATTTCATGACAAAAGAATCACAGCCTACCTGACTGAAGAATGTTAGGAAGCAATACTGCAAAAGATACACAACAGGAAGTACTTAAAGAACCCTGGGTTTAGAATACATGATATGATTTTTATTTTATGTGTAATAATTTGTTTCCAATATTTCTACTTGCTATCATGGAATTCTCTACTCCTTGTTAAATGCTTCTCTTCACTATAAATAGAACATTGATCTGAAGGGAACCTTGCAAACTGGGGTGTACTGCTTCTTTGGGAACAGAGTATCTGTTACTAGCATGGAAGTACAGTGTAACAGGAGCTGGTCACTTCAGATGGACTCTAAGAAAGCTTGGGAGGTGGAGTGTGCCTATTAATCTATAGACAGACAGCATTGCCAGTGTTGGCCTAGAGGGGAGTGCTTATGTTGTCAATGGCAAGTGTGGTTGGGTAGCTGATCCCCAGAAGGTAAAGGCATGGCTGCATCATGACAAAGGCAGGTGGTAGTGAGATGCCTCACAATCCCCTAGGAAGTATCACAAGATATTGAGCAATGGCAGTCATACTTTTCCTCTCTCTACTGGAAACACCTTTCAGTTCTTAACACTAGAAGGTCTCTCCCCAGTAATAGCATTTGTCTTTTTCACAACCACATTACAATGGTGGTTCATAATCATCCTGTGATCATAGAATCATAGAACTGTAAGGGATCTCAAGAGGTCATCTAGTCCAGTCCCCTGCCCTCATGGCAGGACCAAGCGCTGTCTAGATCATCCTTGATAAGTGTCTGTAGGCCTTGTATCCCGTTTAGAAGCTCATTGTTTGTGCAGTGAGGTAGCGATGGTGGTATTTAATATTGCAGCCTTTATTTGATTTGACTTTTTATTGATGATGCACTAGTCTCAAACTTAAAGCTCTAATCTGCCAGAGTAGTGCAAGGGTTCTTTTTCCATGTATGTATGTGTACACTCATAGGTAATGCTTTCCCCCATTTTATTTTATCCTCACAGTAAAATGAAATGGATGTGACTCCCGTTATATCGACAAATCCTATATTTCTACATGTCCTTGAAATTAAGTGTTTGCTAGTGGCAGATAAACTCCATCAGACTATCGCACCTAACCCATTATGCAATACTGTATGTATGTGGGGAGTGTCTTTCTGCTTCTCAGCTGGGGGCCACATCAGGGATGGGGGGAAGTTGTTTTGTTTTTTTGCTTTTCTCTTGTGTGCAGCCCCTGACTGATATTTCTGTGGGTCAGCAGCCCCCAGCCCAACTTAAAGTATGATTTATATATTACTTTATATGAGTAGAATTGCCATTTTTTGCTTGCAGAGCCACAGATGTTAGTAATGATGATGAAGTTAGCCAATTCTTTTAAAGTTCAAGCAGCATAATACAGTAATATTCCCATACTGAAAAAAAGCATCCCCACCATGTATTTTAAATTTAACACTACTGCCCTATTATGTCCTGTAAGTTTTTTAAAATTAAACTGATCTGAGAAGTAAATTAGCACAATTTGAAGTGCCTGTTTCACTCCAGCTTGTTGATCTCTGGTATGGTTTCCTCATTTTTTTACTTATGAAGATTATAGCTTTTTTATGGTTCTAAAAATTCAGGTCTGTCCCAGACTGCAAATATGAGAGGTTCAAAAACAATAAGGGAGAGACTCATATCTCAGAATAATTGCTTCAGCCTGGCAAACAATAGCCTTTGAATTTTCTTTAAAGAAACAGTGTAAACTAGGTACTTGCAGATTCCCTTTTTGCCCTGGAATTTAAATATGACATCTGTGTTGGCTGCCTTATTCTGCGACCGCAAAGACTTTGAGTTTAAGGTGATTCAGCCCCCCCCC